AATTTTTCATTTTTTAAAATTTCATATATAAATTTCATATTTCATATATAATGTAATTTAGCATCGAGTAGAGTAATTTAATTAATGAAAAGTTAATGAAAAGCAAAAAAGAACCACTCACCGGAATTTCTCCAACGGCCGTTGGATTATTTGCAATCGCAGTTCGTTGCTGAATTTCAATGCATTTTTCACCTTCTCTAATATAACTTTCATTTTCGCACTGACATCTTAGCCAACAAATTTTATCATTTGAACTAAAACTTTCCGATGAATTACTTGGCTGAATTTCTCTGAATATCATATGAATACCACATTTTCGTCCTTGCATCATCAAACATACGGATTTATCGTAGGAAGTGGCACCATTCAAAATCTCATCATTTGCACAATTTACTTTATTATTTGCCAAATTGATATTGTTGCTCGAAATAGTTGTCTAAATTTGAATAATGATGATTCGTGGAAGATTCTATTTAAAAAAAGAATTTACTAAATACTGTATGAAATTCCCTCGTACAACCTTAACCCTAAGCCCAAAATTTGCGTCGTTACTAATAAACAGGTTAATTACGCATGTTTGAGGGTCCGAACATTAGTCGCAAGGATTCGCAGCGAGATATTTATTAAGAAAACATTGGCTGCAGAATTTCTTGATAGATGAACGTAGCAAAAAATTTTTAATTCTATACAGATGAAACAATGGAGCGGATTCCCGGCTATAAAGCTAGAAGTGGGAATCGTCATGCTCCATCGAAATTTGGTTGCTATTTTTATATATCTATATAATATCATGTAATATTAGAATCGATTAATCATATGATTCTTATCAGTAATCCACTGAACATGAATGAAATACTAAATTAGTTTGATAAAAAAGTTATTCAAAGATTTTCGATATAAAAATAGAAATATTACTACCCGAATTGATTGGTTTTGGTTAATCAAGATTTAATGTTTCCCAATATTTGCTTCGAAAATTTAGATATATATATTATATTATATGGGAGATAGAATGGCCCAGTGGGTTGCTGCTCAATTGGGAGCGCCGATGATGAGGTTAACTTCCTCGATTCCTCGCAGGAGTAAACCTGTAAAAAAGTCCTCGTGATGCTGGCGACTCACCTGTATTTCTATCGTCAAGGGACTCTCTGGCATATTGCCCAATGCGACAAGCCAGTGGAGCGAGTTTGACCAGTACTGGTGAGGACTCTTTAAAAAAAAAATATGTGGTAGGAATAAAGAAAAACCAGGTATTGAAAAAGATCTAAAAAAACTATAATCATTCTTTTTGCAACCAAGAAAGGATAAAATTTTACAGAGCTCACCGAACTTTTTTCAAATCCAATGGTCGTCGAATCATTTGTTACAAGAGTTTGTTGCTGAATTTCAATGCATTTTTTATTTTTTCTGATTTTTTATTTTCACATTTCACATTTCAGCTAACAAATTTCATTATTCAAAGTAGAATTCTCAGAAAATGAACTCATTTGAAAACTCTTATTTTTATTATTATTTGAAACTCTTATTTTTTGAATATCGTATTAATACCACATCATTGTCTAAGGGGTTTTGAACAGGGAAGGATTCGCCGTGTAATGTTTCGTTATGATTTTTATTACTTTGCGTAGAAATTTGATGAATCGTCGTCGACTGATAATTTTCACTTCTACTATGTAGCTTTATTCAAAAATTATTCTTTATAGATAATATCTATGATAAAATGAAAATTCGGTAATATTTTTATAATATTTTTATAATAATATTTTATAAAAATCGTTAAAAAATTCAACAAATCTTAGAGATTTTTCATGATAAATTGAGTTTAATCAATTAGTTATATCATTTCCGCATTTTTCCTAATATCTAATATTTCACAATCGAATACAAATTAACTTCGAAATATTTTAACACTTAAATTAGTTTCTATTAATAAGTTACTTTTAATTTTTATTAATAAGTTACTTTACCATAGTTGCTTTTTGCTGCCCAAGAAACTCCTTTTTGATGCATTTTCTGCCGTTTCCAATATAGGCATTTTTGTCGCATACACATCGTTGCATACATCGCGAGACTGGGTATGAATACTCAAGAAGAAGAACTTTGTAAAGTTTTTGAAATTTCATATTTATGCCGCAGTCTTGATTAGTTTTATGGCAACCATAATCAGTGATTTCCTCGCCATATGCGCAATTTCCAGACATAGAATCATACCACCAATAAATTGGAGCATAATCTTTAATAATTCATTAGATGCTTTGTACATTTATAGAAAATAATTTAGAATGGTGCAATTCGACATCATTGCAAAACAACTTTTTCAAATAGCATTGATGATATTGCCAAATTTTTTTTATGGATTTATCTCAATATTCCTCAAATTGCTCTCAAAAAAATATTTTATTAAAGTAAGTGTTACAAACAAATTGCACAATTAAATGTACGAAAAAAAAATTTGTATAATAAATATTATTAAAAAGAATTTAAAAAATTCACTAACTGTAATGGAAAATATAACAATGTAAGGCAACATATCTGCGAGATTGTTTGAAACTGTTATGGGAAACGTCTATTTAAAGCATTTGCAAAACCGGTTTTTGGGAAACATTCATGATCGTATACAGTATTTACGATCTATTTTATTTTTTCTATAATGAATTGGAAGTCATTGACATGTTCGATTTATCCATAGCTGCAATAAAGAATGGATTATCGTTGGTTTATATATTGCATTTTTCAAGAAGAACCAAGCATTAAATTTGAAAGTGTCAATAAAAGGTGGTCTTGTAAACGATTCCTTCATATTTCTCAAGCTTACACCTACCATATATTGATGAATTATTTGGACCGTATTTGAAATACTCGAAATTTTTATGGATCAATTATAATTGCTTTCGATCAAAAAGTTCACTATAAATGCTTTTGTATTTTGGATTTTTATCAGTTTTTATCAATTTCATTAATTTTCATGAAAAGTTAGTTTTATTATTAATTTTACTAATTTTTGTTATCTTAATTATTTATTTAATGATATTAATACTAATATTATATATTAATATATATAATACTATGTTATATATTAATATTCTAAGATTAAGGATAGAATTTCTAAGTGGGCTGTTGTTTAGTTTGGAATGCCGGTTACTCAGTATTCAGTTTACTATAATTCTACTCTCCATTGAAATAAATTTGTCCATAAATCCCGATTACCTGTACTTCTATTGCAAAGAAACTCCCTGGCATATTTGCTTCGTGCGATAAGCCGGCAGACCGAGACTAATCAGTAATTGCAATGACTTGTTAAGAAAAAGGAATTCGAAGAAATATTTCAATTCAACTGGGTTTATCAAAAGTGCTTACAGTCACGCAATATCTGCGTACAATTAAAATGGCAGTTGTAATTTTTTTGCAAATTTTTATATATTTTTTAAATTATATTTGATAAAAAAATGATGAAAGAATTAAATTTTATGTGTTTCCACGCCAAATATTGTTATTGTTTCATTATGTAATTTATACATATATATATTAATATATATGAAATATACTTTTTTATATATTATAAGAATGGAAAAGATTACTATGTTCGTGAAATATGGCTAATAAATCCTATTAGCGCTTTGATTTTAAAGCAGTTATATTGGTTTTTGGAATAACTCGAAAACCTTTATTGAGAATCCAATTGTAATTCAGTGGTTTTCGCAGTGTTATTCATTTTATGAATATTTATCTTATATTTCTCTATTTTATATCAAATTGAATTTTTCAATTGTTTATTAATTCGTATAACGTAAAGCATTCGAGAATATTCAGTATAATTGCTTTGTAGAAGATCCATGTAGGTGGGGAAAATTTTTATAAACTTCACTAGTCTTCTATGTTTAGCGAATCAACTTATCACTGATTATAATATGGCGTCAATAACTCTCACTAGTGACACTTATGAAAGAAATTTGTATATTCCTGATTAAAAAAATATTATTATTTTTTCAAGTGTTTTGGTTGTAAATCAGTAAAACTGGTTTCTAGAATTTTTCGTTAGATGAGTTATATGTTTTTATTAGATTATTATTCACCTATCATTTACCCATCACTATTTCTTGCAAATCTATTAAATACAGCCATACAGCCTTTCCCTTAACTATTATCTTAAAGTTTTTTTCATCTATGGAATGAATTTCTGTGGTAACAGTCAATACAATAAAAAATGTTCCGAAACGAAAGGCAAAAAAAAATTTTCGGACATAATTACTGACTTTTAAAATTCCATTGGCTATTTAATGCTACTTTCGAGCACTTCTCGACCATTAACTGATGGAATGATGCAACCCATAAATTAAGGCTCTTAGGTTTGGTAGTTGCTCAATGATATTGGAAATGGTTAGTAAGATTGAAAGTAAGATTTTAGTGGTAGTGGGGATAAAAATTTAGACGGCATTTCCAAGTGATAAGAAAGAGTACTTTTGAAAAAATCAATTTCAATTGTTAAGACATCGTTTTAAAACAATTCGGAGCACCAAAGCTTTCTAACAGTGAACCTATCCAAAAATGTGTGATGCTGGCGATTTACCAGTATTTCTATCGCCAAGGGACTCTCTGGCATATCTGTACAGTGCAAAAAGCCAACGGACCGAGCTTAACCAATAATGGTGGGGTTTAAAAAAAATTAAATTAAAAATAATTTCTATATTTCTTATCAAATTAAATTTTTTATAGTTAAAATTTTTAAAAATTTTTAATATTGATATTAAAATAAAAATTTTTCATTTAGCTTCTTTTTTTTAATTTATATGAAGAAATTTATATGCAAAATTTCCGGGAGTGTTCGGCATAAAATTTTTTAGGGAAAATTTCTCTCCCTAAGAAATTTGGGGGTCTATGTAGGTTGGGAAATTTTTTATAAATTTTATTTTATTTTGTGGGATGTTCTTTTAATTTAGCCTTGTAAATTTAGCGAATCAGCTTATCACGGATAATAATATGGCGTCAATAATTTTTTTTGGCGTCAGTTCCGGAAAAAATTCGCATTTTCGCGATAAATCCTACAATCTAATAAGTATATACATTCTAAAGCAGTGCGAATTAATTCTAAAATCCTTAAAAAATTATAAGCTTTGCGAATTTTCTCTCTTTTGCACAAAAAATGTTAGACGTATAACGATCCAGATATAATCCATATTAAAGATGATGCCCTAGATGTGCAAAACCTTTTAGAGGTAGCTTAATCGAAACTGGTAATACTATTAGCGCAATTACCACGAGTGCCACGAGTGCTCTATTTTTTTGAATGAAACTATATTTTATTGCTTCGATTATTCATGTCCTTTGCCGTTAAAATGAGCGTACTACAATGGAAAGGATAATAATTATTGTTCTTAATATTATTTTAAGAAATATCAAATATTAAAAAAAGTTATCTTAAATTAACGATAGAATGTCCTAAACAATTTTTATTAAAACAATTTTTATATATTCATAAATATATTTATATTTGTCAAATATATAAAATACTGATAAATATATAAAATATATAATAAATAAAATATATCAAAAATATTTGGTGTAAAACGATGGAATTGGTCCTTCAGAAGTACCAGTATTTTTTATGATTATCTTTATCTTATTTTCATTTTGAAGAGATAAAGCCAAACGGTAACGAATGAACCTAATGCAGGCTACTAAAGAGCCATCGAGAAATTTTTTCTTCTAATAGCTCGCTTTATTATCTATTCTCCGCGATTCAGTGGAGATGAGGATAAAACATTTCCAAGCTTACCAATCTGAAATGAACCCTGAAATTAATTGAAGGCCACTTTCTTCCAATAATTAAATCAGCATATCCTTTCATGATAATCGTGACTTCCTTAATCGAACCACATATAGCCACTGCACTGGTCTCAATAATTAAAAGTCCAACAGGCAAGCGATATTTTGATAGAATCGGTTATTGTATATGAATAATTATCTTAACTGTTTACAAAAGCAGAAATTATATTTAAGAGGATTTTCTTAAGTACCAAAGTCAAATTAAAGTAAATTAGCGAATAAATATGAATAATGTATTGAGAAAAAATTGATTTCAGCGAAAATTAAATACTATATTGAATGAATAAATATTAGACGTTAGGAAAAATATGGAAAAACCAAATATTTAAAGGTTGAAAAAAGCAGAATGATCGCATTCTGTTTTTTTTTATTTTTATTTAAACTGATTGAAGGCATTCACATAGTTTTTTACGCAATTAAAAAAGACGAGAACATACAAAGAACTACAAAAGAACATGTAAAGTTTACTATAAAATTATGGTCGTCGAAAAATTTTTAACAAATGTGGAACTAATGCGGTATTAAAGCTATTTCAAAAATAGATCTTTTCTCAGGTCTATAGTCTCTTTTCATTGATGTTTTCAAAGATCCTCTTGCATTAACGAAAATTATATAGAAAATGGCGGTCTGTGTGCTAAGAAAAAATCCTCTTCTTGATAACTCTCGTTAAATTGAACTGTAAAAGAAGAAAAGAATTTTTAATTCCAGAATAAGCTAGAGATTATAAATTGCATAAAAGTAAAGTCTCATTGAATATTAGAATTTTCTAATAAGTTTCCCAGATTATCGAGGAACTTTTGAGGAATTCTAAAAAGTCTCGCTTCACAATCAAAAGGCTCGTAAGATTTATCAGTGAAAATTGCTTTCATACGTGTTGCTATAGAGAGTCACTGATACCATATTATAATCAGTGATAAACTGATTCGCTAAACTAATAAGGGTAGCAAAATTAAAAGTCAAAGTTAAAATATCACGAATTAAATTTATTAAAATTTTTCTCACCTACATGGGCTTTTTAATAAAGAAATATTCGCTGAAGAATTCTTATGTTGAATATTCTCAAAAATTCAACATTGTACGAATTAATAAAAATATTAAAACATATAATTTGACATAAAATAGAGAATTACAAATTATGTATTCACAAAATGAATGACATTTCGAAAACCATTGAATTACAATTGGATTCTCAACGAAGGCTTCCGAGTTATTCCAAAAACCAACACCACTGCTTTAAAATCAAAGCGCTAATAGGATTTATTAGCAATATTTCATGAATACATTAATCATTTTCATGACAAAGAAGTATATTTTATATATATATATATATAAAATACATAATGAAATAATAATAATATTTGGCGTGGAAGCACATGAGATTTCATTCTTTCAGTATTTTTTTATCAAATATAATTTAAAATATAAAAATTTAGATAGAAATTTAGACAGAAAAATAGCCATTGCCATTTTACTTATACGCCGATCTCCCAGGACTGTAAGCAGTAATACGCCGATCTCCCAGGACTGTAAGCAGTAAGTTTTGATAAACCAAGCTGAATAAAAGGTCAAATTGACTATAGAAAATAGAATATTATCATAGTCACCGTAATGAGATTACGAATGATTCCCAATGAAAACCGGTTCCGCAAATGTTTTTAAATAGTCGTTGCTCATAACTTATTCACTTATTCTCGCAAAAATGTTGCTTCGCTTTGTTGTATTCATCGTTTCAGTTAGCGAATTTTTTAATTCTATTTAAATATTTATTCAAAAAATTTTTCCTTTCTGCATTCAACTATTAATATGCCTCGGGGTTGATTTATTCCCGAAAATTTAATATTATATAATAATTTTAATATTTGTGCTGCTAATGTTGATAAAATATTTTTTTGAAAAAAATCTGAGGTATTAAGATAAATCTATGAAGAATTTTTGCAATATCACTAATACTTTATGAAATATCCAAGGTATCTTATGAATTATTAAAGATTGTGCTTCAATTTACTGGTTGTACGAGCGATTGTATGTCTGGAAATTGCGCATATGGCGAGGAAATCACTGATTATGGTTGTCAGAGAACTAATCAAGAATGCGGCATAAATATGAAATTTCAAAAAGTCTATAAAGTTCTCTTTCTTGAGAATTCATATACATTGTCGCGATGTACACAAAGATGTGTATGCGTGAACAATGCGTATATTGGAAGCGGTAGAAAATGCATCAAAAAAGAGTTTCTTGCGCAATAAACAACAACTGAGAAAAATAACTGATAATCATCTAATTAACATTTAACAAAAAGAAATTAATTTGCATACCTATGCAAATATCTAAGTAATTTTACTCATTTTATCATGGAAAATCTCAAAAAATTGTTGAATTTATTAAAATTAAAGCCAATTATGGTTTTCTTGAATATTGTTAAAATTGTTGTTAAATTTTTATTTTATTTAAATATTATTTATAAATAAATATTATTGAATAAAGATGTATAATACGAGTAGTTATTATCATTCAACTTCTATGATCAACTACGCAAACTATGATAAAATTCTCAATGAAACCTTACATGGCCAATCTTTCCTCTGTTCGAAACTCCTTGGACAACGATGCGGTATTAATATGATATTCAAAGAGATTCAATTAAGTTCATTTTCTGAGAGATTTGCTACGAACGGTGAAATTTGTTGGCTGAGATGTGAATGTGAAAATGAATGTTATATTAGAAAAAACGACAAATGTATTGAGATTCAGCAACAAACTACTGCAACAAATGATCCGACGACCATTGGAATTGAAAAAAATTCGGTGAGTTGCTCTTTCCTTTATTATTATAAATTAATATTATTGTAATAAATTGAATATATTTTCAATCAACATTTTCGTGGAAATACTGGGAAAATATTATACAATATATTGCTTAACCAAAACCAATTGGGACAATAATATTTCTATCGAAAATCCTTGCTTTTCATCAAATTATTTTATTATTATTTTACCCATGGATTAATGTTTATCGAAACAACTGATTAAATGATTAAATAACCACGTCTCATCTGACATATATTCAAAGATTTTATTGCCTTTTCCTTGCTTTTTACGCCTTTGGATTGCGAATCACCGAAACAACAGACTTAATGAATCGCTGATTAAATATTAAGCTATTTAGCCGTCGCAAAAAGCAGAATGATCTCAGTCTGTTTCCTTTTTTACTTTACATTTTACGTCTTATTTAATTATTTAATAAAGGCTCATCTTCGTTCTATAAGCGATAGGAGAAACTGAACCTGCAAACTTCACGATAAAATTTTCGATTAAGATTGTCGAAAAACTGATAAAAATTGTGAAACCAATATGATATGATATGATATTCAATTCAAAAATGCTCATTCTCGAGTACACATCTTATTTTTATCGATATTTTTATCTTCAAGATGCTCATATATCAATTAAAACCATGTAGAAAATGAAGGGCACTGCATCGAAAGGAAAAATCTTTTCATTGGTAACTCTCGTGGTATAATTCACTTAAATAAATAATAAAAATAAATAAACAGTAATAATATAATAGCATTTATTTTAAAAAAATGTAGAGAAATTCATCAATTTGCTTGGGATTTCGGGATTCACCTGAGGCAATAATATCGATTTCAAATGGAAAAAAGTGAGATTTGTAATATTTAATTATTTGGAAAAGTCGATAAGCCATAAATTGGAGAAATTTGGAAAAATTTGATTTTATGAAAAAATTTCATGCAATTTTAACAATTTTTTTTTACAAATACTTATTAAAATCGTTTATGGATCATATTATTCAGACAACCATTTCGAGCCACAATATCAATTTAATAATGTGAATTCTGCAAGTGATGAGATTTTGAATGGTGCCACTTCCTACGATAAATCCGTATGCTTGATGATGCAAGGACGAAAATGTGGTATTCAGATGATATTCAGAGAAATTCAGCCAAGTAATTCATCGGAAAGTTTTAGCTCAAATGATAAAATTTGTTGGCTAAGATGTCAGTGCGAAAATGAAAGTTACATTAGAGAAGGTGAAAATGCGTTGAAATTCGGCAACGAACTATGATAACGAATATTCCAACGGCTGTTGGAAAAAATTACGGCCAGTGGTTCTTTTTTGCCTTTCGTTAATTAAACTACTCAATATTAAATTACATTTCGTTTCTAATAGCCATAGTTCTTCTAATGAAATCTAAAAAAGCACATCAAAAATCTTTATCTTTCATGTTGTATTTTATATTTAAATTTTTTGAATTAAATAATTATCAATTCAAGTTTTTATTTAATATATCTTTTTCTTTTCATTAATGGTGCGTTTTCATTCGGTTAGCGATAGAACAATTTACAAAATTGGCGATAAAATTACTGATAATGGCTGTCAAATAACCAGAAAATGATGTGCAACTAATATGGTATTCAGAATTGCTTCAGAAATATTTCTTACTGATTACGTACATACCATTACCATTCAAAGATATGTTAATCATTTGTAGTTTATTTAAAAAAATTATTTAAATTTAACGATATTTTGCATTGCGGTCCATAGCTCGTATATAAGTAAATATGGCATTATTTTCCTTTTTTTCAATTTTCAGCTTAGCTCATTTAGTTGGCATAATCGACCATTAAAATGGAAATTTTCATCATGGAGAAAATGAGTGAAAATAATTAAAAGAATTATAGAATCTAAATCCAATAAAAAATCATATTTATATTTATTAATTTGATTTCTTAAATTTTTAAATCTTAAGTTTTTTACAGTTATTGGACGCTATTTCGATAAAACCCGAGAAACCAGAGAAATTATCGAAGTAACTAACAAAACAATAATAATATTAGCCAATCACTCATTCACAGAGTAATTACGGTTGGCTATATTTGTTTTTAGCTATATTTCTATTGCCAAGGGACTTCCAGATAAGATTTAGCCAACAAATCAATAGAATGAGACTAATCAGTGATACTGCTGAAGAAAAATCGCCAAATAGATATCAGGTAGCGCAAAGCGTAAAGATCAATTTTCAACGACATCTTGTAATACTATGTTAAGAGGAAAGGCTATCTGAATAAAAAAGCTTTTTTTACCATGGACATCGTCTTTAGAGAAGGGTAGAATCCTCTAAATTTGATACAAATTGAGATCCATTAAATCTGCGTCCTCTTCTCTACAATATTCAACGTTTCAATGGATTAAATTTTTACTTCTCCAGTCAAATGACAAATTTAGCCAAAATCCTGTGAATATCGCATCATAACATCATAATAATACCGTATCATATCTATCCAAGGAATTTTCAGTCGAAAAAAGTCGTGTTCGTTGAGAATTTTATCAATTTGCACAAGCGGTGAAAGAAATTACAAAGTTGGTAGTGAAATTCTCAATTATGGCTGTGGAAAAATTAATATAAAAATTGTGGAAAACTAATAAAATATGAGATTCAAGTTCCAAAGGCATTCCAAAAGCATCCCTTACCCGCTGAATACCCACTTTCTTTTCATCAATGCTTTCAAAGATGCTCGCTTATCAGCAATAAATACATCGAATGGAACGGATAGTGTGCAGATTTTAGTGGTAAAATAGAAGTGAATTAGGTAAGCAGTAATGGATTTGGATTTACTTAACTGTAAAAATTTATTTAATTATAGAAAAATTCATCAAATTGCATAGAATTTTGGACTTCAAGCAATTCGTATTAACGCCAAAATGAAATGCACTTATTAGTATTTATAAATAATATATTTGTTATTAAATATTTAATATACTTATTAAATTTAATATTTATATTCATATTTATATTTATTTTACATATTTAATATACTTTTCGGAGAAATCAACAAAAATTCATGAAATTTAAGTTTTTTTCGTATTATGCGATTGTTAACAAATTTTTAAGCATTTTTCGAAATCAATCATTATTAATCGTAGTTATGGTGCGAATATCAAGGATAGCGTTTGTCAGTATTATTCTATAACTAAAAAATCTCCCTAAAAAATTGGTCGAATTGCTTAGAATTTCTTGAAAAATGTCATTTTCGTGTTTTTTGGAAGTTTATTATTTTATTCTAATAAGGATAGCGAAATTAAAAATAAAAGCATTTCAAAAATGTCATAAATGAAATTCATGAAAATTTTTTTCACCTATATGGATTTCATAGAAAAAAATATTCTCAAAGAATTTTTATGACAAATATTCTCGAAAGTTTCACTTCAATCAATAAAATAAATTAATGAAAAGAATGAAAATTTTCCTTCAGAAAAAATATTTATATTTGATATAGAGTAGAGAATTGCAAAATATATATTCGCAAGATTAATAACATTATCCTCATCAACAAATATACTAAAAAAATATTGATTAAATATACTTGCAATATCAATATCAGATGTGATCACATTATCGTTATGTTGCAAAATTAACTGCTTACATGGATTTGAAAATTTTCTTTTGATATAGGTCCAGAAAGAATTTCTATTAATATTTAAAATTTGCTCCTCTTTATTTAAAAAGTAATTATGAACGGCACCACGGAAACTTCTTAAGCATTCTTTATATGCAGAAAGATCACTTGGCAATTTGGTTAATTTGTATTTGTTATAAAGCTTCTTGAATTTTCTTAAAGAGATTTTAAAAAAATGGGAATCGACTTACCGCTTTTTTTTCTTAGATGGATATATTGTTCTATAAGGTATAAAATGATGCTATTAAGAAAGTGAACTTTTTCATCAGTAGAGGGAGCTGAACAGAATAAGAAATCCCGGTTTATTTCTGGATAGACCTAAAGATTTCATAATCGCAGTGACGATAATTTCTAGATTATCTCGAGGGAGGTATATAACAGTCTAATTTTAATGAAGCATGAATGATGTTGTGATCACTATTACAAAAAGGCTCCAAGACTCTAATGCTATCAATAAAGAAGCAGAAGCAGCTTATTCAAAGACGTTTCAGTTTATTGATATCATTCTTAAGTTCCTCGTTGACCTTTGTTAGTATTTCAATAGATCTGGTTAAATGCAAAATTAGATCTTGTTGCTTTATTTTTCAATAATGGAAATCAATTGCGTTCTCAGGTCCTCGATAGTTAAGGAGCCGACATCATTGGCAGAAGAGACCTTATTAACCTTATTAGTTGCAATCATTTTCGGTGCCATTTGAATAAGTGTCACAAACAAAAATTTCTTTTTTCTTATAAGTACTTGATATAAAACGATAAAAACAATATA